TTGTTTTAACCCCAGTAATAGATTCCTAGGTAAACCTGGAATAGATTCCAGGTGACTCAGAATATGCTCCCATACATTGCATTATTTTATTTCCTTCTCAGTATATTGTACTGTTTATCCATTCCTTGACCTTTGAGCATCTTTATTCAAAAATGCCAGTGATTCTGGTTGTGTGAATGAATTAATCATTCATGTGCTAGCATGGCTTACTTGAATCAGGTTCTCTTCTCCTAAGTCTTCATCAACAGTTTTGATCTGAGAGAACTATAGATTTTATAGTGTCATTATTTTTTAAAATTATGATGAAGGAAGGTATTTTAGAACATGGAAAACTTCAGAGGTAGGATAGAGTTGGATAGAATTGCTGTAATAATGTTGAAGGTGAGGTGGGAAATTAGCTGCCTAGAGATCTGGAAAGAGGGATTACTAAAGATTGGGAAAGGATAAGAAAAGAAATACCAAATGCAGATTATTTTTTCTATTTTTAGTAGAGATAGGGTCTTGCTCTGTTCAGGTTGTTCTCGAACTTGTGAACTCAAGCCATCTACCTGCCTTGACCTCGCAGAGTGCTAGTGTTACCAAATGAAGAGGCTCCGGCTGCCTGTTACTATCAGCCAATATGCCGAGATGGGGATGGGCCAACCAGACCTTGTCAGATTCTGGAGAACAGTGAGGGTAGCCTCTCCAAGACTGTCCTTTTCTTCCATTTTCCAAAATCACAGTTTTATGCATAAAAGTTTAAAGTAAAAACCGTGTTAATCTTTATCTTAAACAACAATAATCAGCGTAACCCAAGACCCAAAAAAACATTCCATTTTGAAAGTTAATCTCCTAAATCTTTCCTCCTAAACTCCTCAAAATAGGCTTTTTTTAAGGGTGGGAGCCAAACTTAAAAACAGTAAGAATGGGAGACAGGAGGTAACTGACCAGACCAGCTGTGTCATGGTGGCCCCAGCCTGACAGACTCCATCTGGTTTTCACCATGTGTGCTTTCACTAGGATTACAGGCCTGAGCCACTGCTTCTGGCCGAAATACAGGTTTTGTCCATTTTCAAATGTTCTCTTCTGTCCTGTATGGCCTTTCCCCTATAAAACCCCAAACTTGGGTTAGTAATGTTAAGAGTATATAGTTCATCTGTGTTATGAGTGAAAATTTTTGTGGGCTTATCTCTAAGGTCCTGCTATTAACACCATTGTTTCCAAGAAAGAAATGTTTTCTGTCTTCCAAGTGATTTCTAAGTAGATACTTAGAATATAACTGGTCTCTGTTGCCTGTAACTTGAACTAATATTCCTAAAAAGAGGATGCCTTGCCTTTAGAGCTAGCCTTCCAGTCGTGGCAGTTTGGCATACTGTCAAAGTTCTGTTCCTTTGGGATTCTTCTCTGTGTTGCTGCTCCAATTCCTGGTATCTTGTGCCAATTTTTTTTTTTTTTGCAGTTATCTGTAGAGATTTAGTCATCGGTGTGGATAGAACAGTATTGGCAGTATTAATACCATTAACTGTGGCCGTGCACTGAGCCTGGTTCCAGCATTCCCACTGATGACCTGGGTGGACTTAAGCAATTAATTGAACTTCTCTGAGATTGAGTTTTTTTTGTTTTTTTTTTTTCCCAAAATTGAAGTAATAGCTGCCTCATCCATCTTGTCATTTTGGAATATTAAATGAGATAACGGTTATCAAAAAGTTTGAGAAGTAAAAGGCACAAGGTGACTATCCACTTCTAATAGTAATATTATATGGAAAAGATTTTTGTAAACTTTAGTGTTGGAGTTTCTTGTTTTTCCTGAATGTTATTATACTGTATGCATGAAAAGCTTTTCTCTTACTGGTAAGTGAGAAATTTATATCTTCTTGAGCAATCAAATAAGAATTTAAAGTTGAAATTGTGTAAATTGTGTTTCTTTAGATAAATTAACTCTGAAGATTCCTTGGAAAAACCTTTATGGAGAAGCAGTTGTTGCGACCTTAGAGGGATTATACCTGCTTGTTGTCCCTGGAGCAAGTATGTTGTTTTGAGCACTTAGTAATATCACAGTGAAACTTAATTGTTACCTGCCTCTAGTATTCTAAGGTATTTATGAGATAGAACATAACTTAAGTAAACTACTCATATACATCTATGCACATATATACATACATTTTATGTGTATGTATACCATATTTGTATATAAAATATTTTTATGTCATTATCAAAAAGAGTAAACATTTGAAACATTTATTCTGTCTTCTGTGAGTAATTATTTTGTAACTAAGTCTTCCTGTTAGGAAGTCTTCTTAACTAACTTAAGTCTTCCTGTATTAGGCACATTTACTGATGAGGAATAATGTGAAATATGTTTTAAAAAACATCCTGATGTGTTATCTACATATTTCAAGATAGGAAAGCTTATTTTTTTCCCCATTTGTGTAAAGTAGGCAATTTTTTCTCTAGAAATTTTGGTATTTTAATTTTTTTAAATTTACTTTTAACTGCTTATTTGTGGTTGCAGAGCAAGACAGTAGTTTTTATACTTTCTGATTTTTAATTCTCCTGATGGGTGATGTTCCTTGTCTTTAGTTATTAATTTTTTTCAGTCCTAAGAACAATCTCCTGTTAAGAAAAGTTTGATGTTTTAGGAGAAGATTATTTATCATTTCTCAGCCACGATATAAATATAATTTTTGTTTGCTTTTCAGTTTTTACCATATATTATATACTTGATTTTAATCAAGTAGCGAATCTCAAATATATGTGAGACTGATCTAGGTTTTTCACTTAATATACACGTTTTTATGTTTCACAGTTTTCATGGTGACAGTGAATTTTGAAAGGTTATATGACAATCTCATTTTTGCTGTTACAGTGAATATTATACATACGTCTTTCTTTTTATAGATTTTTTTCTTTAGTGTTATTTCCTTAGGATATATTATCAGAAATGAAATTACTAAATAAAAAGGTTATATATATTTTGTGATTATTAATATGTATTTCTGAATTACCTTCTGAAAGGCCTATCAATCTACATTAATACCAAGTGGTAATAGATATTAACGTTTTTGTGATTACTCGAAATTTTACCTCTCAGAGATAATAACTGGCAGTTTTCTGCTATATTTTTTTGCCTCTCTCTGCTTTTCCCTTTTACCTGTCTGTTCATCCTTTACCCCTCTTTCTTTTTTCCCTATCTTCCTTTTTATTTACATTTATCTTCTGTTCTCTCCCTCTGCCTTTTTGATACAAGTTTTCTAAGTGAATAGGAATTACTTATGCTTAAATTTTTTGTAAAACTAATTCAAAGAATGCAGAAGTGTTCTTGTATTACCAGAAAATGACTTCCGGCTTACATCATACACGTACACTGTTATATGAAGGCTGAACTTTCCTCATTTACTCATTCCATTTCTTTTTATGTGCATTAACTATATATTTTTAGGTATTAAATATGATGCTGAAAAAGAAGAAAAATTGTTGCAGGATATTAAACAGAAAGAACTATCTCGAATTGAAGAGGCCCTTCAAAAAGCAGCAGAAAAAGGTATAGTAAGTTT